CCCCCGTACACACCAGGGCTGTCACCTTAACTACTCTCAAGTTCAAGGTGGTGGGCAGTCAGCAGCACCACCCTGAGTGTTGGCCCTTCCCTAAAGACCACCTGGAGGGCTTAGCTGTAATAAGTGGAAAGAAAAAAAAAATTCTGGAGCACATAATGCATTGTAGGGATTCGTTTTGCGAGATTTTTCTCACTGAATTTTCACAATCTTCCTCTGAGTAAAGTGGCTTTATGATTTCTGTGTGGGTGGAGGATAGGTTTGGGAAGGAACAGGTAGGGCAAGTGGTGGGGCTAGGACTTGAACTCTGATCCCAGAGCCCTGCTCTTACCCTGAGCTGCTGATTGCTCAGAGGGTGCCTGGGCAGTGAGGAGGTGGGTTGAGCTGCCCCAGATGCTGGAGTGGACATTCTGGGCCTGATCCCAGGCAGGCTTGGTACCATAGGACCCTCTGGTTGCCAGGCCTGGGCCTTGGCCGCATCCTCTCTGGGCCCCCTAGGACTCCAGCTTGACCTGTTCCTCTTCCAAGCCCCCCTTCAGAGGAGTCCAGCAGTCCCTTAGGGACCAAGTGCCCCAGGGTTGGGCACGGGGACTACTCAGCTTGTCCAGCTGTGAGACAGTTGTCAGCCCATGCACTGGGTGTGGATTTGGGGCCTCTGGGTTTTTTCATTTTCAGGAGGAGCTGTCTGGTGAGGTAGGATTGAGTGTGGGTTGGGTGGGGCCTTCTGGCCGGATGTACTCGCTTCTCAGGCTGGTGGACTTTGCTTCATCCCTCAGTGACTAGCAGGGCTCCCTGCTTCTCTCCTCAGTCTCCCCGAGGGGACAGTACCGTACAGCGGGGGGCCGTACCCGACAGCGGCATGCACATAAGCTGTGTGGTTTTGGACATGTTGCCTAACTGCTCTCAGCCTCCGTAAAATGGAGCACCTGTGAAGTTTGGCCATGTGTGTGGAAAGTGCCTGGTAGCTATTAAGTGGCACTTAGATTCTTAGAAGCAGGAGCATGGTGGTGTTAAAGAGTTTACCTACTGCCTGCCATAGGGGGGAAAGAGACCATCTCCCCTTAGAAGAGTTAGAGAACAATTAGGGACTTTGGAGTGTGTTGGGTCCCTGATCTGGTATTTACAAGGCACCTACTTCGTGCTGGGATTGAGGACACCACAATGAACGAGAACTTGCTCCTGTTCTAAGAGCTGGAAGTCTCATGGTGCTACAGGACAAGTCAGTTTCCTTAGAGCCATGGGTTCTCCTGGGATCCTGGATACAAACTCTGAAAAAACAAGGCATCCTGTTATCCTCAATCTGTCTCCCTTATTTTTTTTTCCTCCATCACTTTTAAACTTCACCACGACCCTATGAAGTGAGGCAGTATTCCCCTGTTTTATAGATGGGGAAACTGAGGCTTTGAGAGATTAAGTGGCTAAGCTTGGGGTTCCACAGCTAGTAAGTGGCAGGGCTGGAGTTTCCACTTGAACCCAGTGCAGGGCTCCCTCTGAGGGGCTGGGGAAGCTGTGGGGAGGGGGTGTTTCTGATGGGAACAACCTGGACGTGGTTTGTTCTGGGACTGAGGGCAGGGTGTATGGATAGAAGCAGCGGGGATGGACGAGGGCCCCGGGCTGCTTCAGTACCTGCTGCAGAGAGAAGGATGGGGGCCTTGGGCATCCTGATGAGAGGGTCGTCTTCCTCCTGTCCTCCTTTTGGGGTATGTGAGAAACCCTGCGTGGGCTTTCCCATCTCTGACTGTAGACATCGAGTGGTGGGTGTGTGAGTGACTTCGGGGCAATGTGAAATGAGAGTTCTCAGTGGCTAATTTGAGGCTGGAGCTGGGCAGTGGTGTGTGGGGATTAGGGGATACCAGTTTGCCCTTGGGCTAGGCAGGAGGAACAGGTACAGATCTGGATCTAGAATTGAAGAGCCGGCTTCCTGCCCTTGAGCCTCTGGTTGGGATGTGGGCATTATTCCGGGGATGTCTTGGGGGCACCCAGGTAGAGGGGGTGGCAGCTCTGGTCTTGGCACTGGAGGCTAGTACGCAAACAGTTCCTTGGCCATCGGCTGCCAGCCCCAGGAGACTGGCTGGCTGAGGCTCTCAGGGAGGGAGACAAGTAAGAGAGAGCATCTGTGGACCAGGCCTCACTGCTCACCTGGGTGGGTCTTAAGTTGATGTGAAGGAGGTGGAGGACCTTACAATTACTGTAAATCATGTTTACTTCTGCAAAACTCAGAAAGAAATGTAAGAAACTTTCAGGCGTTTGCAGAAAAATCCACTTTATCTAGTAGAGTAGCAGCTAGAAATGCTAATTAGCCATCCTGTATAGGAACCCCTGGATGGCCATGATTCCACTCATCAGAACCCCTGGTTAGTCTGCATTCTATTAAAGAAACTTCCAGGGCTATTTAGGTGAGTTGGTCTTGGTGGCAGCCTAAGTCCCTGTGAGGAACTGTGGCTTTGGGGTGAAGTCTGTTTTCTGGGACTTAAGTCTGTACTAGGTTAACCAGCAGCTGGTTCCTGAACCAGGAGGCTGGGCTGATGGACGTGGTGGTAAAGGGGACAGGATAGAACATTTGGAAGAGCTAGGATGAGGAGGCCCTTTTTCCCTGCCTGGATGCCAGGCCCCTTCCTTCTGGGAACTTTTGGGCTGGGGCCTTCAGGCCTGGGGCCCTGTGGTCTCCTTTGGTGTCTCCCAAGCTCGTGGGCATCCTGGAGAGAAGGGAGGGGCTGAACGTTGGCTTCCCTGGGCTGAGGGTTCATGGGCAGATGAGCTGGCTGGTGGGGCTGCGGCAGTGGTGGGGGGCAGTGGGTGTTGAGTTCTGGCTTCAGCCTGGGGAGTTGGTGGGACTTGGGGGCTGGGGAGTGCAGGAGGTGCGTTGCAGCTGTACCCTGTTATGCCCGCTGTCATGGTGTGATCTTGGGCAAGTCACTTCACTTCTGGGCCTCGTCCTGTCCTACCATGTGTCAGGTGGGCCAGGGCGCTGCCTCTTGAGGCCACACACAGGGCTCTGGTAAGCAGGGCTATGTGTGAGCCCTCAGTAGAGGGTGCCACCCCTGGGTGGCGGAGGAGAGCATTCGTTTTGGCTCCTGCAGGTGCCTGTGGTGCCCTGGTGTGGCTGCCTGACCTTGGACATGTCACTTCCCCTCCCCAAACCCTAGATTCCTCGTTGCAACGCAGCCAACCAACTGGGTGTCCATGGTAGTCAGACAGGGAAAAATATAAAAAGTTCTGTGAGTGATAGTAAGAGCTAACCTGATGGCAGTGCACACCCATGCTCAATCCTTTCTACAGGGGTGACTGTCACCTGTCTCTCGGGGTGTCTGGCTCTGAGGGATGGTGCAGAGCCCACTCTGCCCTGTGGGTAAGAGCAGGGCTCTGGGATCAGGGTTCAAGTCCCAGCCCCAGCACTTACTGTAGCTGTTCCCTTCCCAAGCGTCAGTGTCCTTATGCCACAAGGCCGCTTAACTCAGAGGAAGATTGAGATGGTTCAGTGAGAAAATTCCAGCAAAGTGAATCCTTAGCACATTACATTAAGAACTCAAGACTTTTTAATATTTTATTTTATTTTATTCTTTTGGCCATGTCCCTTGGCTTGTAGGATCTTAATTCCCCAACCAGGGATTGAACCCCAGCCCACCAAATGAAAGTGCCAAGTCCTAACCACGAGACCACCAGGTTAAAACAGTAACTCTATTGCTAGGGTCTCCAGGTGGGCCTTCTGGAAGGGCCAGCACTCAGGGTGACCCAGGGCTGGAGGTGGGTCTCCTTTTTGACCCCTTACCACTCTGGTCAGCTCTGGCCTGTGGGCATCACCAGGGAATACCCAGGGGTGGGATGACTGGGGGTGGGGTGGGGTGGTCTCTCCCTGTATCTCTCCAGGGCAGGGATGGGGAAGCTCCCAGACAGATCTCAGTCACTCAGTGCCTTGGCTTCCTAGGGATATTTCTCCCTGTGTCTTTACAGTTTTTTTTTGGCTGTGCTGTGTGGCATGTGGGATCCTAGTTCCCCGACCAGGGATCAAACCCGTGCCCCGTGCAGTGGAAGTGCAGAATCTCAACCACTGGACCACGAGGGAAGTCCCCCCTCCCCATGTCTTTAATCCACCTGCCGCAGAGGGTCTGGAGGGCACTGCCAGACCCAGGAGCCTGGACTCAGTTCTGATCCACCCCCAACCCCCCCCCCCCCCCCCCCCCCCCCCCCCAAAAGGGGAGGCC